AGGAAAAAGGTGAAGATAACCTACAACCACTTATATTTCAAAGACTATAAGAACTTCACCAAAAAAAATTCAATATGGAGGAATGAGCCTTATGTTTCCAGCAAAAATATTTAAGACTTAATGCATAATCGTGACTATTATAAATTATAACTATAATGAGTTTATATTGATTGTATATTCGAATGCCAAATTTACAAAGTACTGTAAAATCGCCTACATATTTGATAATTTTGCTTTCAATGATTTACATCATGTGATGGTAAAAATATTATTACTAAATTACCTTAATAATTATCTATCATAGTATGTAAACGGTCAGAACAAATATATACGTTGGAATATTATCTTTGTCCTATAAGAGATGTAGCAAATAAAGACATACCTTTCCAGTTCTTTATTTTACTGGATACAATTAAAAAAAATATTTTTACTAAACACCGCACACAAAGTTAATGCAAAGATATGAAAGTGTGAATGGGTTTAGATGGATGTAAAACTTATCTTTGTATTATCATCCAAGATATTTTTTATTGTACTTGATCTCATTGCTTGCTTATAATTTACATAGTCTTGACGTAGAAGATCATGAAATGAGCAATTCGTGCTGATAACGTATTATAAAATAAAAGTAACTTAGTAAAACATGAACAAGACATGTTGTTATGAAATAAAAGCAATTTAGTAAAACATGAACAAGAAATGGAGATAGAGAGAAAAAAGAGATCTTCTTCTTCAATTGTGTGTATTTTTCTATCTATTACAAGGCCTTTATATAGGCATAAAAAGTGAAGAAAAATATGTCATTGAATATGTTATTAAGCATAGAAATATGTCATTGAATATGTCATTAAATATTTGAGAAGATCATGGAAGAAGAGTAGACATCCACCATAATTTGATTTTTCTTATAACAAAAATAAATTTCTTTACTTTTTTGAGAATCAAAATCTATTTTTTATAACTATTTGAGCACAGGTGCCACGTGTCTTCATTATAGTTTTTATTGTCACATCATTTGCGCGTGAATTACACGCTAATAATTATTTTGACTGGTTTGTTAGTGAAGTGTTTAATAAACACAGTTTGAATTAAGCCTGCTTAATGGGCGGGTTGACCCATTTCCGGATCGGACCGGTAGTTAGGGAGGCGGGTGGGCTGGGTTAGGGGGTTGGTCCGTGAAAAAAAAATTCGATTAATCGGATCGGTCAAACCCGATCAAGGAAAATCACTGTTGAACCGGTTAACCGGACCGGGCCGGCCCGGTTCAACAGTGATTTTCTTTTCTTTTTTTTAAAATTTATTTGATCGTTGGTAACGGCCCCCTCTTCTTCATTTATTCACTCATCTCTCATTTCTCAAACTCAAATTCTCAATTCAAGTTAAATCATGCCCCGTGATTCTATAATCTAGAGTGCGCTCATATATTTGGGAACACTTTGAGGTGGTAGAAGAAAATGAAGAAGTTCATAAAGTAAAGTGCAAGAACTGTGGTCGAGTCTTAAATCTTCGTCTAAGTTGATTTGAGACAATTTGTGTTATTTTAAAATTATTAGACGTATTATGCTTAATGTTTTAGTTTGTTAGATTAATTTGAAATTTTGAATTTGAATTTAACACTCCAAAAGATGGTCAAGAAGGTCATATTGATTATGAAGAACTTACTAAGGCAATGCAAAACCTTTGAAGTTCTAGATTTATATTTAATAATTAAACTTTGAATTTATTCTTTTTCATTAATTTAGTTGTTGTTAAATGTAAACATTAATTTGTAAGTTTGAACTTGCAAATTATAAGTGCAATTTTTTTCATCTTTATTGTATTCTATAATCTTAAATTCTTAATGAAATATTCAAATATAAAATTTTTAAAGTCTTTGCATCCTTTATTCAAACACTCTTTTTATAAATTTTTTTTTTTTTTTATATTTTTACTTTAGTTATACAAAATACAAAAAAAAAAAATTATACTAACCCGGCCCGGCCTGGATCGGTGACCGTTCTGGTTTAATTTTTGACCGGATGGGGCCGGACCCGTTAAGCCCGATTCGTAAAACTCGGAACCCGGCCCGGATCGGTGACCGACCGATTACTTTTTTTCTCGACCCGGACCGGCCCGACCCACCCGTTTGTCACCTTTAGTTTGAATATAAGTCTCGTGTTTAATAGGATAGTCTTAGTTAAAGTATCTATAATGCAATCAAGGATGTGGGCCTAATGACCAACAACAAGTTGTTTCTAATAAACCCTCGGCTCCCTCCATCCAAGAACTCCCCACATTACTCTTGGGATGACTCGAACTCATAACCCCTTGGTTGGAAGTGGAGGGTGCTCACCATTAGAGCAACCTACTCTTGTCGTGGGCGTAATGACCAATGAAATAGAAAGAGAATCTTGAGATTTCTTGTTCAAATTTTAGTAGAGTAGGAAAATATTAGGTGATTTCTTCTCATCTATCTTAATCTTAGTGCAAAGTGTGCTGGTGGAAGTTAGCAGGTAAGTATTAATATTCTGGTGTGCAAGCTAATTTGAACGTTACCGTCGTACAAAAAATATCTCAATTAAAAAAGATGGCAAATTTAAGGAGCTGTCTATGTATTTGAAAAAAAAATTAAACTAGCAATTTCTCTAGACATGTAATTACAAAATAGCCACAGATTTAAAAGTCATTAAAAATATAAATTTTTAGAATCCTTGACAATATTATGGATTTTGAACTTACAACAATAATAACAACATACCAGTGTAATCCCACAAATAGGGTTTGAGGAGGGTAAAGTGTACGAAGTCCTTACCCCTACCTTTAAGAAGGTAGAGAGACTATTTTCGGTAGACCCTCGGCTCAGGAAAGATAAATGGAAGGGGCAATAACAAATAAACCAAATCTGACAACCAAAGCGAAAATACAAACTAATACTAAGGAATGCAAACAGAAAACCGAAACAAAGGGAGTAACAAGTAATAATAGAAGTCTAGGGATACGAAAATACACAAATGACACTAAGTGATGTATCAAAGCTACTGCTACAAACACGGATAATGCTCGCTACCTAACCTTTTACCTTTATTCTCAACCTCCACACCTTCCTATCCATGGTCATGTCCTAACCACTTCTCCGGCTCTCCCAAATACTTCTTTGGCCTACCTCTATCTCTACGTTGGCCATCCAATGCCAGCCTCTCACACCTACTCACCAGTGCATATATGCCTCTTCTCTTCACATGGCCGAATTATCTAAGTCTCGCCTCCCATATCTTGTCCTCCATTGAAGCTATGCGCACCTTGTATCTCGTTTCGAATATGGATTTTGAACTTAAAAAGGTGAAATTCCATGGGCTATTCTTCGTAAACTGGTCCGAAAAGTGACTAATCCGTACAATTTTTTCATGTATCGTTAAAAGCTTTGTTCCATCATTTATAATCCTAACAAAAACTCGCTACTCTTCTTCTTAGTGTTGTGCATAATTTGGTAAATATCGAATTACCATATTGAAACCGAAAAATTTGGTATTTGGTAATTCGATAATTTAGTATTTGATATGGTATTTGATTTAAATCTTAAAAAAGTATTAGATATGGTATTTGGTATTTAAAAATAAAATACTTAAATACTGATATCGTACCGAAATATACACTAAGTTACATAATACATATATTATTGATTATAACATAACTATTAAAGTTTTAAATTTTTCTTTCTGTTAATTTTATAGCTTTCTTTAATTTTTACCATCTTTTTTTCCTCACTATACTTGCCTTTCCCCCTTTTTTATGGTTGATACTTACATTTCAACCATTCTCTCATCTAGGTTTAGCATTTTTAGTTTTTATCGTTTCTTTCACTATATTATACTATTTTTATTTTTGTATTTGTGAATACCTTACTTAAGAGTATTACTTTGAGTCGAACAAACCAAAGTTATGCCCATATTTTTGTCACAATGACAATACTACAATATCTACCTTTATCACTTCGCGCCTCGACACAACAGCAAGCCAACCTTATCGCTCAACACCCAACACAATAACAATATCCGCCCTTATTGCTCCCTGACACAATAACAATATCTACCCTTATTGCCCCGCACCCAACACAATAGCAATATCCGCCCTTATTGCTCCCTGACACAATAACAATATCTACCCTTATTGCCCCGCACCCAACACAATAGCAATATCCGCCCTTATCGCTCCGCACCGACATAATAACAATATCAATCATAATTGTACGGTAAAATCTTGTGCCAATACTCACACAATCCGCACAACATGTCCATATGTGCCATAATTATCACAAAACAATGATGCCAAATTTTTATGAAGATATAAGCCCATTAACAAATTGTACAAGAACATGACAATAATAAAAATGCGGAACTACGATGATGGGACTAATCTTCTCAAGTTAATGCCCCTCTCTCTCTCTCTCTCTCTCTATATATATATATATATATATATATATATATATATATTAAAAGTCTTTTTTTTTTCTAAAGAAAATCGATGATGAAAAACAAATTCATTTAAACTCGAATTCTAATAAATAGAGTATTATCTTTTGTGATTTCGGCAATAAAATAATATTAAACTTATATTATGTATATAGATGGATATTTTATCTATTCTATATCGACTAAATTCCTTAAAATATTATTTCTTTAATTTGGTTGTTAGTACTTTCTTCGTTCACTTTTATTTGTTCACTATTGACGTTGCACACCCTTAAGAAATAATAAATGAAGTGTATAATTTACATGATATTCATATTAATTGATGTATATATTTAATTGATTTGAAAAAATAATTTAAAATGAGTAATTAATACTATGAGTATAAGAGAAAAAAGAAATTATTTTCAAAAAATGACAAGTAAAAGTAAAAATATATTTTTAGAATGATAGACAAGTAAAGTGAACGGACTGAGTATTTTTTTATACAAATTCACTAGTATCTAAATATACCGTAAGTAACGGAGGAACCTACCTCTTCTGCTCCCCTACTCCAAAAGATAAAACAAAATTTCAAATATTACGGGTAGTAATCTGCACCTTTTCTCTCTTTTTTTCTGTTAGTTTCGTCGTTGATATAATCTTCTCCTCTGGCCTCTGCCATTGGATCGTGGTCTTGGACTCTTCGATCCCCTTTACTTCCTTTCCTTCTTTGATCTTTCAACTCCAGCCGCTCAATTAAGCAGGGGTTTTCGCATAGATTTGCAAGACCTCATGTTTGTTCTAAAATAACATTGTTTTTGTTTTTATTGGGGGGGAGATGGGGAATATATTCGTGAAGAAACCGAAGATCACCGAAGTGGATAAAGCAATTCTCTCTTTAAAGACTCAAAGGCGTAAGCTTGCCCAATATCAACAACAGGTATATAAGAATAATTTCTGAAGTTATTTATGGAACTTGATTTTCCCCCTTTTGGATTTCATTTTTGTTGGGCTAAACTTAATTTGCTTTATTCTAGGATGGCTAATTCACTTTGCAGATAAGAGTCTTGCTACCAGCATTCTATTGATCCTTGTGTCAAAAATGATTTGATACCCATCCCTTCATTATGCTAATTTCCATCCCAAAACAATTAAATATTTAAAAAAAACCAAAAAAAGAATAAGTTAGTCTAAGATGAGTTAGGAGAAGTTTCTTGGAATTCTGCTAAAACACAAAAATTGAAGGTCCAAGGTGATTGTCTACCTTGAGAATAAGAATTCTACTGAATTCTTAAGGCTCCACTTAGGGACTGATTTACAAGATGTCTTCAAGGAATATTCTACTGAATAAGTGTTGGTTTACGACCTGCGAATCCTTTCTGTTATTCATTGCTCTCAGCTGGAAGCTGTCATTGAAGCTGAGAAACAAGCTGCAAAGGACTTGCTACGCGAAAAGAAGAAAGATAGGGCCCTTTTAGCATTAAAGAAGAAGAAAGTTCAAGAAGAACTATTAAAGCAAGTTGATGTCTGGCTCATAAATGTTGAGCAGCAAGTAAGTAATTCTTCTTATTACAGTTTCATACTTTTACTACCATGCTAAATGTACTTATTCCTTTTAAGGCATTTAAGCATTTAAATTATTCTTCTGATTCTATGTGCAAATTCTTTTAGTTGGCAGATATTGAACTGACAAGCAAGCAGAAGGCTGTCTTTGAGAGTTTGAAAACTGGAAATAATGCAATCAAAGCAATACAAAGTGAGATCAACCTAGAGGACGTTCAGAAGTTAATGGATGATACCGCAGAGGCAAAAGCTTATCAAGATGTAAGCTCATTTGATATAAAATCCCCTGTTCTCTTAGATATGGTTCACTCTTGCTACTCTTGTGTGATTTGGGAGTTCATTCATGCTCGTTAAGTCATAATATTTTTTGGAGTAGTACTGAAAGGGAGATGGATGAAAGGTAACGGGAAAAGATGAGAAAGGGGAGAAGAAAGAAAGTCAAGAGGAAGGAGATTATAACAAGGGAGATGGGACAAAGACAGGAGAAGCAAGGATAAATGGAAGAAGGGAGAAAGTTAAGAGGACAGATTATAATAGGGGAATCAATTCTTGTCTGTGTAAAACAACGTACAGAAGGGTTCGAACTCCGTCCTATAGAATAAGAGCCTTAAACAAGCTAGGACATTTGTTACAAGGCTATATCTGTATCTAAAGATACAAATGAAACCAAACGAAGTCTAGGTGATAACAATTGGAGATAGATAATGATCGGTGATAAAATCTGAATTAAAAGATCCGACATAAATTAAAAGATAATCTATAAATATTCTAGAAATAAATGTAAATTATCTGAAAATCTGGAAAAACACGCAAAGAAGTTTATTTTTGTTGAGAATCTTTTCTTTTTTGTTGAGATTCTCGATTCTTTTGCATCTATCTTGAGTAAGGGGTTTCCCCCTAGTTTCACATGCATGTTCTTAATGTTTCTGGGTGAGGAAGCGTATGTATATTGGAATGGATAGATTAACTCTGTGCACAAGAAACCTCGCGTGACTCCCCATGCTTGAAGTGGCCCCAAGGTGTTGCTTCCAATTAGATTTACGCACTAGGCACTAGTCAACCGAGCTCCCTTTCGCAATACATGGAACTACTTACCAAACAACTTTTGTGCAAATTTTTTAAAAAAAATTATTAGGATAAAGTGATCATTTGTGCAACTTTGGTCTTTGAGCAAATAACTTGACAAGGTATTAAGTTTATAGTTTCCTCTAATGCAAGATGTGAATAATCGTATGCCCTTAGACATTTTTGCTTCTAACTTTTAGATTTTGTTCACCTTCTCCAACTCTATAAGACTTAGCTTCACTCACTTTTTTTCTAAATTCAGTTTGAGAGACAGCAACATTGTATTTCATATGGTTCTAGTGCTGCTTAATCTCACAGTCAATAACTGCAATTTAAAAAGAGATCAGCCTGGCAAGGAAAAACACTCCCTTTCCTATCTTGGCTTTTTTTTGGTAACTGCTTGTATCCTTTTGCAGGAAGTGAATGCTATTCTTGGAGAGAAGCTATCTGCTGAAGATGAAGAGGAAGTTTTAGCAGAATTTGAGAATCTGGAATCTCAGGTCTGTCTTTTTATGATGCAGTTGTTGTTGCTAAAACTTAGTTCATTCATTTTTTTGCAACTATATGCTCCTTCTTTTGATAACACAATTACAGCTTTGCTGTCGCCTTTTCAGCTTATAACTACGAATCATCTTAATTTTCCTACTGGGCTATACTTTCCTTTTTTTGTTTGAGAGATAATCAACTGCACTAAATGATCACCTTCCCTATAGTACTACAACATTATCTTATTCTAGTATACTGCTATCTAGTTTGTGTTGATGCATTCTTCTTATTTGAAGGAAGCAAAAACTTGGAGATCAAAAAATAAGATACTGTTATAAACCCACCTAGGGGTCTATAGAGCCTTCACAATCCTGAAAGCTATTGCTTTTCCCATCCCTTGATATACTGATATTATTTATAGGCCAATTTTGTGCGCGTGAGCCATTTGGACAAGTTGATTGGAATCAGATAATACTTGAATTACGAACCAAGATGTGCTGAGTGGATTAGAAGAATTAGGTTTTGCATGAGTCGTATTCACAACTATTCTTTTTTTTTCTTAACTGAGCGCTAGTTTTTCTTTCGTGCAATATGATGTTCTTAATAATAAGGCATGGTGCACGAAGTATCCCACAATCACGCAGAGTCCGGGAAAGTGCCGCACCCCAAGGGGCTTGAAATAGTCAGCCTACCCTGATGCAAGCATCAATGACTGATTCCATGGATCGAGCCCGTGACCTATAGGTCACACGGAGACAACTTCACTGGTTGCTCCAAGGCTCCCCTTCAATATGATGTTCTTATTGAGCCATCAATTTAACTATCATGTTTGATTCCCATAGATGATAGTTGAGACTGTATTTGGAAAAAGTTGCATGTTGTGACCCGTGTTTGATGCATATCCATTTACAAACTTCAGTGACATAGTGCCAGGTTCTTTTCTAGTTTCAAGATTCTAGCATCAAAAGTTGCTAGCGATGCCTTCTTTCTCGATGTATGGTGTTAGTCGTTATAGGCTGTGGGTTATTTTACCACATAAGGATGCACTGGAAATAAAAGGTGTCCATACATGTATTGATTAGTTGCCCCGTACAACTGTTAATGCTTCTTTCTGCTGAAAGTAGTAAAAAAACTTCAGCATGTTAGGAGCGGAGTTATTCTTAGATTTGTACAGTTGTGAGTTATTTCCCTTACCCTCTTCCGTAACCCCTCATCTTGGTCAGTTAACACTTCAAGATCTGCCAGAAGTTCCTTCTGCAGCACCTTCTGCTGAGAACGTTGAAGAGAAACTGGATCTACCTGATGTACCAACTAAATCACCAGTCATCACGGAAGCTGTTATGGAGGACGCTCAAGATACGTCAGCTGGCGTGGCTGTGCAAAAGAAAGGTTACTGTTCTTTTCTCCCTTATTCTGATACACTCACACACACACAGTGACATCTTTTCTAAATCATGTATTCTTTTGAATTTTCTGTTCAAATTTGCACAGTTCTGGAGGAACCAATACCTGCTTGATTCCAGCTCAACTTTGTTAATTTTTCAAAAAGTGTGTCAAGTTTCAGAATGCTATAAAAGTATTCGATGCTAAAAATTTGTAATGTTTCAAAAGTTTGTATCATATCTCTTGTGACTTGTGCAAATTGTGGTTCTGGGGTCATGTACAAGATTTCAGATTTGGACCGTGCTCTTGTGCGTTGCTGACTCGTACGAAGTCATTTATTTACCATTACCTTCATGCTCATGTCTGAGTAGTTTCATGTAATTCTGTTACCTTTGTATTATGCAAGAAAGAAGCCAATTGTCTCTTTTAAGACCTAACTCATTCTTTAGATTGACCAAATGAGCCACCAGAAAATTTTTGGCTCATAACTTCATTGAAACATCTCAGAACTGGTTCCAACTCCAGTATGTGCTAATTGCCCTACCAGCGTCCAAGCATTCTAAGCAAGGAGTTGCCTTTCAAGGAAAGTTCCGTATCAAGTAGAGGGGTTAATTTTGACACCTTTTCCTATGGTAAAATATCTTTTTAGTCCAATGTAAATCGTACTATCAGTACATAAGCCTTCGTTAATGTTATGTTCCTAAGCTTGAGGAACTACTCTAACATATACTATGCAAAAAGCACAAACGCCTAGCGGTTAATGAAGTGGATGCAAACCATGGAAGATTAGAGTACACTTCCTATGAAAAGTAGTTAATAAGTAAAAGCATTATACAAATACATTCGTTCATATTGTGTGAGAGGGATTGGCAAGAAATATTTCACCTTTAAATTTTTCCAGCCATCTAATTTCACCATTTTTTGCATAGCATTTGCTAAGAGACCGTAAATAATATGCAACCTCTAAGAGGAAAATAAGGTAACTGTAGAAGCAAAAGAGGACAAAGAAAGCAACAACAGACAAACAGGAAAAGAATGTGAAAATAGCATGGACCAGTCAGTAACTAGCGTTTGTAAAGTCATTAAAAATATTCATTATTTTATGCGGAAATAAAATCTGGACATAAATACCTTAGTTGAAATATTAAAAGTTCCAGCATAATATGTTGGATTATGGAGCTCATTCGTATAAACTTCTAGCATATTATGAAATTCCAGCATATTATGTTGGAATCTCATATGTAAAAATTCGAACTCCATCATATTATACTGAAATTTATCCGGATTTTAAGAGTATTTTTGTTTAGATTTTATTTTTATATGAAAAAATGACTAAATTTTGATTACTTTTGAAACTGTGGCTATTTTTCAATTACGAGTAGTAAATCATGCTATTTTTGATTTTTTCCCAAAAAGAATAGACAGCAAACAATTCTTAAAATTTTACAACATAATTAAGACATCCGAAATTTCTACATTTTTAGAACTAATAAAGTTGGACATATTACTAAATGATTAAAGCAACCGTCTCATACATGAGAAAACAAGTACACAAAAGAAGACCGAAAGTTTAAGTAGCAAGGAAATCCAAAAGGGGTAGAGGTATTTTGATATTTTGTAGCTGGAATAATGCTGGTTTCTTGCACCCTTAGATCAAGAGGCTCTAAATCTGACCTATAAGGGAAAAATTTGTTTACCCGAAAAACGGATAGAGTTGAATTTGTACGTAGTTCTAAGGATATGTGATGTAGCTTAATACAAATCGTAAGGATAAATAGAAATATCAAACATGGATTGCAAAGAATGCAAAATAAACAGGGTTGTAAAGAAAATGATTTTTAGGACTAAGCAAGATGAATCAATTTATGAAACTTAAAAGAGTAACTCTTGAATATAAGAGAATATGGTGCTTGAATTACAATGTAAGCCAAAGAACTGCCCTCTACAGAAATGTAGCCATCCTCTTTATAGTGGAGGATCATACTTTACATATAATTAAAACTACATAGTGGAGAACCCATGATAAATAAGTTTTTCCCTAATTTCCGTCGAGATTCTCTCCCTTAGTGTGTTTGCAACGACTCTTGTCTGTGAGCTCGAGTTCGATCGGCCTCGGTGCTGGTCGGTATTGCTTCTAGAGCTCGATGTGGACTCGGAATCAGGTGATGATTCGGGCTCGGTATCGGTTGGCCTCTGCCCCTTAAGCTCGAAATCGTCTCATCATAGTTCGATTCAGACCCAGCTCGATAATGACTTCGAACTCGGTGTTTGACCTATACCTGAAATCTGAAGCTCGTTCATACCATCTTCGGAACCCATCTCGATATTACGAAATCTTTCTTTGATCGATTATGTTTCGACCTCGATCGATCGTACGAAGGCCGAAATCAATTTTGACCGTATACAAATAGTTCCTTCGTTTCTCGAGAAAGACATGGTGAGAAACGATATGATTTCTCAATGGCTCAATTGGATATGCACTGACGTTTGCATCGAGCCCGACCATGACGTCCGTGATAACTGTCTGTTGGCTTAGCTTACCAAGGCATTTAATGCATGTCAGACGGTGGTCGGCCACCGCTGATATTGAACCGTCATTGCTTCAATCTATAAATAGCCATTCCTTCCACTATTTATCACTTTTATGTCTTCAATCTTCAAAAAACATTTAAGTTCTTTTTCATCTCTTCTGAGTTCATTCGCTGATCTGTGACTCTTTTCTGCAAAATTCTTCTTCTAAATCACCAAATCTTTGTCACATTCTTTAAATCCAAAAATGGTGAAGACATCAAAAACCATCCCCCAAAAAGAAAAAGCTTCTTCTTCCCAATCTGCCGCCGATAAAATACTGGTGGATCCACGGCCTGAGGAGTGCATTCCAGTGGCGTGTGTTCTTATCTCCGATTTCAAACTCGATAAAGGTTCGTCGGTTCCTGGCCGATGTGAGACTGTATCGAGATATATTTGTTCGATAACCGGGGGTATATCGAGCAGATAAAAAAAGATTGTAACTGGGGGAACAAAGAGGTGGTAGTGCCGTCTCCCGAAGAGGATATTACTACTCACGTAAGAGGGTTTTTAAGTGTGTACACTTACCCTTTCACGTTAGGTCCCCTCGACCCTGTTATCATATCTTTTTGTCGTAAATACCTATTAACCCTAGGCCAGATCCATCCTTCTTTTTGGCGGATCGTTATTTTGATCCGATACTTTGTGAACAAAATCGAGGGGATGCCTTTCACCCTTGATCATCTCATCCGATTGTACCGTCCTCGCCTTTTTCGAGGAGGGTTAATAAAACTACAACGTCGAGATACCAAGGCTCTGTTCTCGAGCATAGACGAGGACAGAGATCGAGGTTGGATGGGCATGTTCGTTCGAGTAAGGACTTCGGACCTGATTCCGACTGAAAAGATGCATTTTTCCGATGAGTGGAACATGAAGCGTAAGTGTAATTCTGCTGTTATCTCCTACTATTTTGTCCTTTCATTTCTTTTCTCACCGATATCCCCCTTTTTGTGATGCAGTGGTTTTCTGGATGCCCGGCGCAGTGCCCGATCTCAAGAATTGGGTACGGGATCTGGTTTCGACCTCCTCATACACCGAGCACTCATGGCGTGACTTGTCAAAGGGCCGATGGGAGGCCAAAAATCATGGTAAGCCCCTTTCTCGTATTTTTTGGTAGTTCGAACAAGATGTTTTTCATACACTTTAATAAAATTTCCCGTATGTAGGTGTGGGCAAAGATGCAGTTTTGAGGCCCTCGTCCGTTGAGGAAGAGGCTTCGGCCTCTGTCTCAAAGCCGGTGAAAGATAATAAGAGGAAAAGACCCTCCGTTCTCGAAGATCCAAAACCAAAAAAGAGGACGGCTCGTAAGCCGAAAAAGAATACCATTCCTTTGACCGTAGAATCAGTTCTGCGTCTAATGGATGAAGATGAATAAGAAGAAGAAAACGATGGGTTTGCGCTGGCGGCCCGAACGAAGAAGACCACCGACGTTCCACAGGCAGCTGGATCGATGGTGGTTCATAAGGCTTCGCCTCGAACTGAGGATATATTAGAGAAAGATTCGGGCAGAGTCCCCGAGTTGTTAGAGATCGAAGATGCTTCCCATCGAAGCCAACGGATGGGGGATATGTCTGAAGTTCTCCCTGAATCTCTTCGAACTGAAGAGAATGCTCTAAGTGATTCACTTGGGGCAGTAGCAATCGAAGACTCGCCAACCTTCCTTGCATTTTCCGCAAGGGCGATTCGGGAATCCCAAGCTTTGGGGGCCCTCGAACTAGACATGCCTCATGATGGAGAGGATCCTTTTCGTGACCTGTTTACCAGTGTCGAGGACGTTACCGGTACAAGTGATGCATCAGATCTTTTTCACGGAGTGCAGCAGGCTTTGAATCAGGTAAGCCTTAAATTATTTTGTTGGCATTACCTTTATGTTTGCTTTTCTTTTCTAACTTCGTTTCTTCTTTCTTTGCAGGCCGCGACAGTTCATCGAGAAGCATGTTCTCAGTCCCGAAAAGAGATGCGTCGATATGAGGCCGACCTTCAATGGGTTACGGAGGAGAGGAACTCCCTTAAACTCCTCTTAGAGAAAAGGGGAGAGGAAATAAAATACCTCCGAGCTGAGTTGGCCAAGGCTTACCAAGATTAGACCGATCTGTATGAGCAGGTAATGATACTTTTAAAAGCCTATGGGCTCGATACCGGAACGATAGCTAATTTTTCGGTCTCACAGCTGCAGCATAAAATTGAGATGATCGGGAAACTCCGTGAGGAGGTCGATGTGATAAAAGCAGAGTCTTTAAAGTGGAAAGAAGGTATGGATCGCTTTGCTGCAGATAAAGAAGATGCTCGAGCCCAATTATCATCGGCCGAAAACCAACTTCATAGTATGAAGGAGAAAAGCTCAGTTCAAGCAAGAAGAATAGAGGAGCTCGAGGCTCGGTTGGCCTCTGAACTTGCCAAGGCCGAATCTAACGCCGAAAAGTCAAAGGCCGATGCAGATGCACTCGTGGCCGTCTATCGGGTCGATGCTGAAGCTGCCCAGGTCCAAGCAAGAGAGGCAGCCGAAACCGCCGATACTCGAGCACATTGGGTCGCTGAACTTGCTAAGTGCCGATCTCGGAGGGAGACCCTCGACGAGATCCATGCTCGAGGTTTCGATCTCGCTGAAGAGATAAAAAGGGCTAAAGAACTCAAAGCTGATGCTGAAGCCTTGGCTTCCGATGATGACGATGATGATAATGATGACGATGATGGAAGTAAGAGTGGGTCCGAGAACGGGGGGAGCTCGGTGGAGAAGAGACCTCTCCCGGAGATAACCAAGAAACTTAGCCCCTAGTTTCTATGTTGTAGTCAATCATGTAAACAATCTTGTATATATATATAAATATCTTTTTATTTTACCGACTTGCTTCTGTTTTGTTTCCTGCCC